GGAACTAGCCTCCTATAAGAAGGCCATAAGAAAAGGAAAACAATCAGCTTGGCAGACCTTCTGCTCAATCATAGAGGAAACAACCGATGCAGCTCGGCTTAAGAAGATCCTCTCCGTAAGCAACCCCTTTCTTGGGATGGCTCATGGTCAGACTCTAGTGAGGAGACATTAAGCCTACTTCTAGAATCACACTTTCCGGGTCCGGCTTTGTGTTAACAAAATTATTAAACTGTTTTGGATCTTTTGAAAATGGATCCTTCAGCGAGTTAAATAAGCCCTATAACAATGGGCGTTAAGAACGGTAAAATTAGACCGAGCACTTATGTATCTGGAAACGCAGCTTGTGATCCACACATTTTATATTTATTATAAACATTTCTTAGGCGAGATAACTCCTTGTTAAACCATGGGGGTTTGTTGGAGTTCGATGGATTTTGTAACGGAACGGAAAATAAAGATTTTAATGCACTATGAAAGATATAAACGGCCGCAGCCATGATAGTGCATAAAGTTAGTCTTGCGAAAGCAGTGGATTCGTTCAACAGACTTTTCAGATTTATCTTAAAGCTCTGATCCTGCAGTGGTGACATTCTTAATAAAAACACCTTTTCTGGATTTCACACAAAGTAAGCGGGCAAAAGAATTCTTAACATGGATCACTTGAGATAGCGCAATGTCAAGCCAACCGTCTAAAGTCTTGCTGTCATTCAGGTTTTTGTCTACAAAAGCATTTTTATCTTAGCGTGCCGAATGGAATCATTTAAAAAGAGTTTTTATTTAGTCGAATTCTTTATCAATTTTCGTCAGAAAATTGTATTTCAGATATTTTGTATCGTCACGACTTTTTAACCTTGTTAAGAGGTGTTTTTAATTGATATCAGAAGATTTTGTTCGAAATATAGTCAAAGTACCCCAATATTGTGACCATGGTTTACAAAAAAACCTATACCTATACTTCAGTACTAATTTTATTTTTTAACAAATTATGTTTGACAAGACTTTAAAGCTTAACTAACAAGTTTTAGGTAATCACAAAATAAAATCCTTTGATGATTAACATTCAACTATCAGGCCTGTTCCAGTTTTCACTCGGAAGTGAATCCCTTGACATTGGCGGATTTCCGTTTAACATGTTTAACATAATCAAAGTTCCCTTGCTTGATAGCAAAATTCCTGGAGAAGTTACTATTTGGAGGGAAATAAAACAGCTGACTGCCGCTACTGCTCTTAACAAAAGCCTATGATTTGCCTAAGTTTTCCAGCCAAATTACTGATCAACATTTTCTGGCCCGGTGCTGCTCCTAATTTATATGCATTGTTGGTGCTCACATTTAATGTCTAAAATTAGTCAAAAAATCATTGGTAGCCAAAAATAACAAATTCTACTTATTTTGAAGGCAGTGATGGATTCTAACCAACAAAAGTGTTGAACAAGTCGTTTGTAAATCAGCTGTGTTGCCCGAAATAATTCAAAGATTGTTGGATTGATTTTAACAATGCTTTTGCAATTTTTGCCAAATAACGAGTTGAGAGGACAAAATCTGTTGGACATTAAACGCAATAAATTTAAAATGCAATGCGAACATTTTTTATTTGCCAGATCGCCAGTAATAAACTATTATTTTGAAATTACTTTAACTGAAAGTTGCGCATATTTTTGCAGTCTTACCGGATCTACAATGATCTATTTCATTTCCTTATTGAAAAAATTGGACCCGACTTAGAGCATCACTGGATTGCACATGTTACCCAGCTTGCGGCAGTCCTTTGTTTCCTGGCGACCGGGTCGTACATCATCGTGAATCATCTGCTTGGTACCAGTGCTGCAAACTTTTCAAAAGTTGTGTTCGGTATCGAAGTTGCCAAAGACGATGAAAAAGGTCCCAAAACAAAACGCTTTGCACAATATGTACATTTAATTAAAGGGTAATAGGAAAAACAAAACTAAACTTAGATAATTTACATTTCTAACCATACAAAAACAAACCGAAAAGCGCTTGCTAAATAAGTCCGAAGAGTATAATTTTTTTTTTCGTACCATGACAACACTTGCTTTGTTTCTATCAAATTTCTGAGGTCCCATCGGAAAATAATTTTTAAAAAGTCAAATATGTTACGATCAAGCAAATCTTTTAAACTTTTATAACTTTTTTTTCAAACATCAAAGAATAAGGTAAAAATTTCATTTGCACTTTAAGTTATCGCAAATGCTTGGCGAAAAGTTTTCGTGAGTTTTTTGCTGAAGTTAACGGAGAATTAACTTAGATTCCGTGCAAATCTTTTGGAAGAAAAATTGGAACAGTATATGATATTTTGCATCGAAGTGTATTTAAATCAATTGAAAAACAAAAAAAGAAAGCAAACTTCGGCAATAGGGGAAGCAAACTTCGGCAAGCCGAAGTCCTTGCAGCTATTGCAAAAACAAAACTGTCAAATATTGAAATATTTAACCATTACTATATGTCGATGAACTAAAAAAAAATAAAAAACAGCAAAACTATAATTTTTTGTATACTTATTTTCCGATTTATCCTATGGGAGCTATATGATATAGTCGTCCGATTTTGATGAAATTTAAAGCGTAGTTCTGAACTATTTAACATTAAATGTTCCGTCATTAAAATCGTACGACTATACCATAAAGCTCCAATGGCAACCATAAAAATATTAGAAAAATGTTTGTTATATTTTTTCGATTTTTCCCATGGGAACATCACTGTGGACGGCCTTCCACGTAGTGACGATAAGCACCGGGAAGTGTGCTATATATAGCCGCAATATTCAAAATCAGCAAAGAATAGTCCGATCTTAATTAATGATATAGCAATTAAAAAAGTATCGCTTTTAAAAGAGTCTTTGAATACTAAGAGTTTTAGAAAGTCATTTGGTTCTGGAGAAATGGGGGTGAAAGTGCGAAAAATATGTTTCTTTATTGGAGCAGTTGGAGCCGGTGGGCCAAAAAGTCTGACCATAAATACGCTTCCAGATACACCTCAATCAACTCAATACTACGTTAAATGACTGCATTTTTAAAAATTAAATCTTGCTTAAATAAATTTTTTAAAATTAATTTTAAAAAAAAGTTATTATTATTTTTAAAATATATTTTAAAAAAGTTATTAATATTTTACAAATATTTAGTGAAAATTTGTATACATTTAACTTGAAATTGTGTTTCTTAAAACATTTTATCACAAAATGGTGGTGCACACTTGTAGTAGAAAATTCTTTCCTAGGCAGCGATAGCTTGTCTGAGCTGAGAAAAAGTTGCCGTTTCTGTTGAATACTTCATTCATTTTGCCTACAAAGCCATTTTTTTCTCGGCGTGCCGAATGGAAACATTTAAAAAGTGTATTTATTTAGTCGAATGCTTCACAAAATTTGTTATCAGATATTTTTTATATTGAACGTGCGATCGTCACAATTTTGTACCTCGTTTTTGTTTGATATCAGAAGCTTTTGTTAAAATATAGTCAAAGTACCCCAATATTATTGTCATGATTTAAAAAAAACTTTTAGCTATACTTCAGTACTATTACAAACTACGTTTGGCAAGACTTTAAAGCTTAACTAACAAGAAGGGAATCACACTTGAGCAAGACAAATTTTACATACCCTTGCAGCTATTCCAAAAATTTAATATTTCTTAAAACAGCAATATTCCGTTTTTATGATTTTATGACCTATAAGCAGCTATTTGACATCGTTGTCCAAATTAAATAAAATTGGATAAGTAATTCTGAAACAAAAACCATTTATTTCTATCGAAGTATATTCAAACCAATTAAAAAACAGCAGTCGTTATAATTTGTTCATTTATTTTTGTTTCGATTGTTCCCATGGGAGCTGGAGTCTTTCGATTCCGCTTGATTTAACTACTACTATTAGCTTTATAACTGATATGGCAATATCAACCGATCCGGCTCGTTCCGGAAAGTTTCATGCAGATAAGTGTAAAACTGAGAGACTAGTTTGCATATAAACGGACGGACATACGGACAGACGGACGGACATGGCTAGATCGACTCTACTAATGATGCTGATCAAGAATATATATACTTTATAGGGTCGGAGATGTCTCCTTCACTGCGTTGCAAACTTCTGACTGAAATTATAATACCCTCTGCAAGGGTATAAAAATAATTAATATTTTACAATTATTCTTTCACGAAATAAGCTTCGAGTCACTGTATAAATATGAGAACTGATACTTTGTTCTTCAGCACTCCATATTTCCAGGCTCATTGGTTTTGGGCAATACCTGTCGATTTCGCCAAAGCCTTTTGAAATTCTTTTGTTTCACCCCGAACCTTCTGCATCCGAGTCTGAATTGTGTTTTCAGAAACTGTTAGTTGCAAATTTTACATCCCGACAAATTTGTTTCTATATACAAATTTTGAATAGTTACACTTTGTCTGCGACCCATATTGAGACCTGTATCACCCTAACAGTTTAAAATTACAAAATTTATACCATAAATGTCCATTTGATATAAAATTTCATTTATAAGATTATTAGGCAAATAAAATAAAAAAGAAATGTACCTCACACAATAGCGAACTTTAAATACATAAGTTTTAATATATTGTAAGGGCTTGTTATTGAAATCTGAAATATTTTTCTTGTATGGGTATTTAGCGTGAAGTCGGTTGAAATAGCTAATCTAAGCACGACCATTTTAAAATGTTCCAATTCGGCACGATGAGATGGCAAAAATCAAAACACCTGGCCTTAGCGTGCCGAATAGAAACATTTTTGTAGTGTATACATTTAGTTGAATGCTTTATTTTTTTTAACCAAGAAAATTGGAATCAGAAATTTTGTTTGTTGTAGGTGCGTTCGTCACGTCTTTTTTACCTGGTTAAGAAGTTTTTTGTTTGATATAGCATACCCATGTAAATATGGGGGGAAAAAGTTTAAGTGCACTGTGTACTGAAGTTTACATAACTTGTTTGCTACTTATTTGCCCACTGTACTTATTTACCTTTTTAGGCACTTACGTTTGTTAAAAAAACTAGTATTGCGTAAGCAGAAGTAGTTTGGTGTAACCTGTTGTTTGGGATTAAAAAACTGTTGACCACAATATAATATTTGCGACCTCCAAGCCTTCACAAAAAATCGTCCAACAAAATTCTGATTCATTTTGATGAACTTTTGTATACCGAAGAATACTTAAAACATCGGAATTGAGTAGCCCGGAATAAATCGCAGCGTAAACGGAAAAATTAACCGGTTCATTAAATAGATATGCGTCAAAATACCATCAGCCGGTTAGCAACGAAAGTGAAACGATGGAACTTGGAAAACGTTTCTAATTTTGTCAATAATCACATCGAGCTACCTTCAAAATATAAATGAATTAAACAGTCACAACGGCGTAGGAAAAATTTTGAAAACTTAATTTCAACTAAATCAATCTGTTTTTGATATTCATATCCCTTCTTATATATTTTGAAGTATTATGGAATAATTATATAAAAATGTCAGTTTTAAATAATTTTGTATACAAATCGCTGCGTCAGATAGCTTTCTTTTCGACCACGCCTCTGGTTTAAATTGTTTCGCATTAAGTGCTGCAGGGAACAACCCTGAGCAAAAATGCAGTACGGAACGTAAATCCAATTTGTAATACCATCTTCCCACACAGTCCATCCGAGGAAAACAGGTTGAATTTTTGGCATATGTAAATAGATGGTGGCTCCATGAGAACACAAGTCTTACATCAGTCAAAAGTCCAGAAAGCAAAATGATCTTGTAAATAGTGCAAATGTTCAACTTAAAATTTGCAATATATGCAATTAAAGTTCAATTTGTTATGTTAGTTTTAATTCAAACAGGACCCTTATAAACTATATGTTTGGTATCTTTGGAAGGATAAAATAACATTTTCTTTAGGAAATAACCAGTATTTGTTTATAAAGACTAGCTTAGTGGCTGCGATATGCCCTCTTTCCATACATTCTTGCCGTTGGAAACGGTTGGAATTTTTAAGAAATGTGAAACTCCGATTACCACAGAGCACATCCACCTTCACTTTTTGTCAAAACGTAAACACGGTCAACAGATCAACCATCTTTGAGCCACAGCTGTTCAGATCAGCTGAAATCGGAAGGTGGAAGTCGGATCGGAGTTTCACTTTTATCTAAAATCTTAACGGTTTTTCAGGATGGGACTGCGTTGGAACAGGACTGCACCTCAAAAACATCGTCTAAATATCGCATAAATTAGACCGGCAAATCTTAGCGACGGACTAATTGGGATCCCTTGAACGGATGGTGGAAGGTGGATGGATCTCTGTGGAAATAGGCTATTAGACTTTATTTAAGCCCGTCGTTCCGAAATTGTATTTTGAACCCAACAATCGTTTCTATCGATGGTACCATAGATTTTTTTGCAACTCTAATCCAAGCCGTTTCACTTTTCTTAGTTTCAGCATCTAGGACCAACTGAAAAATTGTGGGCACGGCAAAACCTTATGGAAATAGTTTTCTATCCCTATTTCAACAAAGTCCGATTTTATTGGCAGATAATTTAGAGGAGTTGAATGACGATGAATTTCAATTAAACATATAATAGCAAACTTAGTTTTGCACTCCTCTCTCTTTGGACCCTTCCAATTTCCAATTGTTCCTTGTCATTATTGAAAACGATTTCGTAGGGAATGCTCAAAAATAGAAAAAAAAAAACATTTACAATCTGTCGCAAAAATAAGTCCTTCAAATTTGGATGGCGGACTTATAGCCCAGTCCCACAGAGCCCATCCAAACGAAACGGTGGGGATTTTTGATGAATAATTGACTGGAGCTCCCACAGATCAACCTTCCACCATCCACCGTCCATCAAAAATTACAACGGCGTATGCAGAATTTTTTTAGGGGGTCTTTCACTCTATTAAACTGTTTTAGAAGTACTTTTTTCGGCTCTTATATTATTTTATTGCTACGGATTAGTTGATAAATTGTTACAATTGTTTACATAATGGCTACAATCTCCTAGGGGAGCGATAACCTCCAAAGCCCCCCGTCAAGGTATAACCGGAAAATTTTTGGCACGGCAAAACCTTACGGACCATCTTTGAAAAAGATGGGTGCTAGTGCTCTGTCGGACAAAAATGATTAATTATTGTAAGGAAAACCTCGACATTGATAAATAGCTTTATTTACAACAAAGGAACAAAGCCAAAGTTTGTAAAATGTTATGGGCAAAAAATTTATCTTTTACCAAATTTTGAGCCATTACCGACCACTCAACAACTCAAATAACAGTTTTAACATGAAAATTTGCTTGCATATGACAATATTATAATATAGACATCTGTCTATATTATAGCTTGTTGTAAGAGGTGATTCACGATTTTTGAAGCAATCACTATATCGGACTAAACTCATTTTATTCTTCCCACGCAGTCCATCCCTGATCTTCTGTAGGGATTTTTGAAAAATGTGAAGCCCGATATGTTCGCTATTGCTTCTTCTCCTGTTTCTTTTTCTTGTGAACTTAGAACAAATCGGGCGACTAAATCTCTGAATTGCTGACAGTTCAACAAACAGCTGTTTCATCGAAAAGCCGTTACAGCTCCTGTTTGCAAATTGTCTTGGCTTGGTTTGTCTAAGCATTTGCTTGAATGCTACGAAATGACGTGGGTAGCGTAGAGGCAAAACTTGTCGCACAAAGCATGACAAATAATTTGGCGGACTTCCGTATGCATGGCGTGCTGTACATGGAGGGAGGAAACCTTTGAACTCTGTTCAACCAGCCCTGCTTTTCATTGCATCTCACGCATTGCGCATTGAGAGTATGGAGGAGACCTTAAGCTCCAATTGCGATGATCTCACTAGTGCTACTCAGTCTTCTCTCACCTCTGATAACAATGATGCGGATGTTTTTGAAGGTGGTTCTGCGGCACTGGAGAGCTTTCGCTCGTTAATGTATATCTTGGCTCTCTTTATTAGATATAAGTTTATGTAATTTATTTACATATTTCTTAATTATTTCCTGGTGCTACAAGGATTTCCTTAAAATTAACTAAAACAAGCAAAATGTATAGATCCCTACTTAACTTAACATATCAGATTATGAAATTTTATAGTCAACAAGTTGAGTTAATCGCTTACATCTAACATTTAATACATAATTTTGGTATTTTAAATTTAATTTATTTGATTATTTTAATTGGTACTTTGTGATTTTAAAAAGGTAAATAAATTCTAAGTTGCGTTGTGCTTGTGATCGTTTTGTGGCGTTGTGGCAGTTCGTTCCACAACCGAATAGTGTGAATAAAGAATTGACGGTCTGGGGATGCCAGCTTAGTTAAATTGATCACATATGTAAGTTAACTGTGGCCAGCAAAACCAAAGTTGTTGACCACAGTTTACGTAAACATCGCGCCGGCCAAACTGCTGACACAGCGTCTGGCCGGATGCTCGTGCATAGCCGGCAAGCACTGCCCATTGGAGTGGCCGTTATGAAGTTCAATTATGTTAGCTTTAAGTTTTAGTTCTGATTCGACTTTCGAATAATAAAGAGCCATCGCTCGTAAACCTAACTCCGACCAACAGTCGTTAACTGCGTATAATTTATTCACTGTCTGAGTCCATAGATCAGCAGGTAAGAGGGGCAGACACCCCTCCAACGTAATCATCCTAATTCAGCATTGGGACACCTTCGGCCAGCCGGCCAGCAATCAACAGCGGACATACCGTTCGCCTGAGAGGAAGGAAAGGAACTTCCTGATACCGACGGCGACTCATCACCCACCGGATCAACAACAAAACTAATTGGCGCTCAACTAGCGGTAACAGATTACCCGACCGAATAAAACTAAAGCTTGGAAATTAAAAGTGACGGCGGCTCGGGAAAAACGTAGCTGCAAAACGGCACAAAATTCACAAAACATGTAAGTGGGCCCTTCGGCCAAAACTTTTATGTCTTCAATCAAAGTTATCTATATAATTCGGACCACTGTCTCAAGAAAAACAATTAATTCTGCCCATTTAATTCTTGTAACAACAAAAAAAAAAAAAAGAAAAATCGAATAAATAAATAAACGAGTGCGAAGTGAATTTTTAAAAAATCTCAGTATTTAGAATTTTATAATTTACAATTTGACAGCAGCAGTTAAGTTAAAAGGAAATACGACCCCCAAAGTCTTGGGTTTCTGTGCAGTTGAATTCAACTGCCCATGAGTGATCCGTTTCTCCAATATAGGAACAGAAAACAATACTCAAGCGACTCAGAATCCGAGAGTATAGGGCAAGTCCACGCCTCAACCCCAAAACGCAAGCCCCCCGTCCCTCCTACAGACGTCATGGAGGTCCGTTATACAGGCAGCGGTTAATAATGCCCTAACAGAACAGGCCGTTCAGAGCCACATAAGAGAGCAGGGGTTAAGACAACAAATCGAGGAGTTGGCTGGCAGGGTGGCAGCAATAAATACTTCACCAGCAACGGCCGCAGAAATAAAAACATACACGGCTATTCAAATAGATGATAATATACAATGTAGCGAACCTTTAGATGCTGTAAAATGCTTGCCCGAATTTGCGGGTGCACAGGAAACATACGTCTCCTGGCGACAGGCGGCCACGACCGCTTACTATATTTTCAGATGGTATGATGGTAGCTCGCGCCACTACCAGGCAGTTATCATCATTAGAAGTAAGATTAGGGGCCCTGCCGACGCCGTGCTGTCCTCATTCGGCACGGTACTAAATTTCGACGCGATAATAAGTCGTCTTGACTACACGTTCAGTGACAAGCGACCAATGCATGTAATTGAACAAGAGCTGGGAACCCTAAGACAGGGTGGCATGACCCTTCTACAGTATTACGATGATTGACAAATAAAGTCAATATGTCGTACGACACGTCAATGGCAACAATTTTGTGTGCCAAATTCCGCGAGGACGCTTTACGCGTGTTCATTTCAGGCCTCCAGCGAAACCTCACGGATTTGCTCTTCTCGGCAAAGCCGAAAGACATGCCATCGGCTTTGGCCCTGGCACAAGAAGTGGAATCGAACCACGAAAGGTATATTTTCGCAACTGCGTTTGCAAGAAGACAGGAGGACAAAGATCGTCGGCAAAATCCAAAGCCACAAGATCGTCAACAGGACAAGCCCTTCCCGCAGCCTAATCAGCGGTAAAAACCCGCACTTTAGCAAACCACATAAGGCCCAAGTGCATTCTGCACCGCAAAATAATA